TTAGTACTAGCCTTGGTATCATCCCTGGGACTCGAAGACAATTCATCTATTGTCCAAGGACCTCACTCGATCACATTTGCCTCAATTTACCTCCAAGGTTGATTTTTCGACTTTTTCAATGGTTTTTTCCTCCGCATTCCACCTTTCTTCAATTTCCTTTCCCCTCAATAGCGTCTAGTCATTGCCCTCCTATATTTTAAAATCGGGGAAAAAAAAACGATTGACACGTCTGTTGTGTTTATGTCAGCAAGCACGTTTAGCTGGTATGAATATAGAACCGTCAAATCCAGCGGAGTCGGTCGGCTGATTTATTAAAATCCATTCGGTTGTTTACAAATGTGGAAATTTAAAGGGGGAAATGAGCGGTTGAAAGCACCTGAAGACTCATCGGCCCGAATATGACTCCAGACCCGGCAACATCTATTACTTCGACGTTTATCGATCCATGTCAAGGACACTGTTCTCTTCTCAAACAGATTAAACACGATTATCCGAATTCTTTTTCCATCAGGTTTATTGAGACGAAAATTCGCGTTTTTCAGAGGGAATTTATTGCAGAAATGCGGACGCTCAATTCAATTGAAACTGCATTGGTCGGAATTAGTGCAGCGGACGGGGTTATTTTTGTAATCCGAGCGCGTGGGAGTTCAGAGGGCTTTTGGTTAAGCTAATTACGGTTTAGGTGTGTTGCGTAGGGTAATTAGAGGGAATTTAATTTGGGTGATTGGATTAATTTGCGGGAGTGGATGGTGGGGAAACGGGAGATGTATTCAGGAGATTTTTGTTTTTAACGCAGGGATGGCCAACAATAGTAGATTTGGACAATATTAAAAACGATTACCTACTTATATTGTTCTAAGTTTAACTATACTTATCGAAATTGAATATATTTTAAAATTTAATAACTAAATTTTTCGATTAATGGTGAATAACCTATTTGATAATATCGAAATGTAAATTTTTCATTAACAAGTCAATTTTAAATTTTAGGTACTTGATTTTCGATTATCCAAATAATCGTCAATCTTTCGACCTAAATTATTGATTAATAAAAAAATTCAAAATTTGAATGTACAAATTGATGGTTAATTTTAATATTTAATTTTTTGTTTAAGATTTATGTGAACAATTGACAACTTCATAATTTAATGGCAATCATAACAGATGAATATGGCTATCTCTGTTTTAAGGATATCAAAGTACTTTGGCAATTTTTTTCTCCAGTGAAATGCATTTCTACTTTTGTAATCGAACATCAGAGCTTTCATTTGAGTTCCATTTGACCCTATGTTTTCGGACATTTTACAATGATTTTGAATATCGGAAAAAAATAGAAAGTTTACTTTTGAAGGAAGATTGATGAACTAATTGTGCAATTTTGACAAATTACAATCAATTTTCCACCTTAAAAATCAATTGTTAGGAATTGTAACAAATTTAATCATATTCATAATTGTACCAGACATTGAATTCATGCCTGAAAAAATGAGGTTTCCGAAAGTTTAAACAATTTCAATTTTTTATTTATAAACAACGAATGTTAAAAAAATAATAATTCTGTGTAAAATGTAATTTGAATGTTTTCCCCGCCCGAGGCGCACATGCTATTTTTCGCGCTGGCGGCCGCAAAGTGACATTTCCTTTCCGTTTCGCGAGAGAGAAATCTTACTTTGCGCCTATGCCGGGGCGAAAAATATCGTTCTAACCACGGGAAGTGAAATACAGATCCCTTGGCAAGACCTTGGACCCGTTGGTACCTTGCTAACGTGTTTACCGTAATTCCGCACGTGGGAACGACTCCTTTATTTTACCTCTCTAGGTTAGAAATATTCTATTTTAATACGTTGGTAAGAAAAGTTCGTATTTTGCTTTTTGATGAGCGGGAGGAAAGTGAATACTTTCCACTCAAGGGTGGAAAGGTGATCCCGAGGCAGTAAACTACAGACTTTCCGTCCTTGGACGGACAGTAATCAGTACTTTCCGCCCGAGGGAGCAACTTTCCACTCTAGAGCGGAAAGTACTCACTCTCCTTCGCGCTTATCAAGGAGCAAAATACGAACTTTTCGTGTAGGTGTGTAGAAATAGTATATTGTGCACCAAGAGAGGAAAACAGAACATTCTAACCCGCGCGTAGATTACCCGAGGCAAAGCCGAGGGCGGTAAACACGCGGGTTTTGATGTCCTGTTTTCCTCCCTAGATACACACACTATTTTTCGTCATAACTGCACGGTATAATTCGATCTTTCTCCGTAAATGTAGGGAGGAACGTGGCTTATGTCATTCCGAAAATCGTCAAAAACAACAGAAATCCGAGGAATGAAATAAGCCACTTTCGAACTTTCCGTGCAGATATGACGACAAAGTATTTCCCAGGACCATATCAAAAACTCTTCTTGACGCTCACGAAAATTATCAATATTTTTTTTTACTAAATTTGGCAAAGAACATTCCCAAAGATTTCAACGAAATAATCTCTAAAATTACTGTTAGATTTCACTCTTAATTTAATTTATGAAATTATATCTGCCGTTGAAAAGATCTTTAACAAAATTTTTTTTATTTTCTCTACAACAATTTTTTTGCGTTCTTTTCAACATTTTTACTAATGACTCATTTTCTAATCAATTATTCGAAAAAAAGAATAAAGTTTCTTTTACGTGAACAAGAAACAGTGAAATCTTGTGTACCCGCCATGAATATTTTATCTCAACAGAACAAAGAGGCGGAATAAAAAAGCGTAATGTGCCAGGCAAAATCAAGCACCATTGATACCCCGTGAATGACCACAAACTTATTTGAAATGACTTTTTTTTTGTTTTCTAAATTTATAAATACCGCGCACGAGACTATGTTGACTATTGTACTTAACACCCTTTTTAGCGCGAGTATTCACACATGATTACTGCATCGCCGACAATTTTCTGAAGTGGGGAGGGGAGGAAGAAGACAGACAAAGGCGTACGCCGCATTTGCACCTGTTTATATTTAAGGAAGATCCATAACTCGGGATCTTTTATTTTTATAGTTTCCACCAGTGGAAAGGAACATTGGGGAAAATGGGTATATTATTCCCTCGAAAGCGTAAGATAATTGTAATAGAAACCATGCTTTTAACTAATTGAATGATTCGAGAAAAATTGATAAATTTTTCCTCCTGTCATTTGGCTTTGATAATTTAGATAGAGAAATAGAAACGAAAATTAAAACGCAAAATCATCATGGAATTTATGAATTCTAAAGAAATTAAAAATATTTTTCAAGTATTGCAATGGAGACATTCTAAATTATATTGTGAGATTTTTTTTCAATGCAAATATGGAAATGCTTGAAATTCAACAATATTTCTAAAGAGTCTCGTGACACTTCAAGATATTCTAGGACTTTGGTCTTGTTTTGTTTGTTGGAATCTTCTTCAACATTTGTTGTAGGTGAATGTAGGTTTTTGCTTCCGCATGGAAGCTTTGTAATCGTTCAAATTTAAGTTTTGGATTTTTTGTATTATTACGACCCAGTATGATTCAAAAAGTCCGAAAATGCAACTTTTAGATCTCGTCCGTACGCATGTGTGTATGTGTACGTATGTAACAACCTTTTTTCGCCACGGCGGGCGGAAAGGACATATTTTCCTCCTGCTTCGCGGGAAAATTCCGCCTACGCCGTGACGAAAAAGAACGTTCTCACCACAGGAGGTAAAATAAAGGACCCTTACGCACGTGCTTACGTCGTAATTACGTCGTAATTCTGCATGTGGGCACGACTCCTTTATTTTCTCTCCCTTGGTGGAAAATATACTATTCTTCAATCTTTTTTTTCAAATGTAGGTATTGTTTAGCCCTAGCGATCACCATTAATTAAAATTTAATTCACGGATTATTTTTTTTAATTTTCGATTTTTTTCGATTTTTTCTGTTTGTTGAAACTCATTCCATTTCACTCATTCATAAAATTAAATAAACAATGAATTATAGATGATAGAAGGAAATGATGTGCAAAATAAACATTCGGAAGCACATCTTGATAGAATTTTCTGTTGAACATGAATATTAAGAAACAAAATGACATGAATTTTCAATTTTTCTCTGAATTTTCCGGACTTATCTGAATTTTTACAGAATAATTGAACTGATAAATCAAGTTTTTTTATTGATTTCCAGGTCGTTTGAACAGAAAATCAATAAAATATTTGATTTTTTAATGATATGATTTCCTGAAATTTCAGTGTAACTTGAACACGATGAAAATTTCCCGAATTTGACACGGAAAATTTACACGAAAATTTTTAACAGTGTAACAAATTTGGCGTTTAAACATTTTCATATTTATAAATTAATCCCTACTAAATTGTAAAAATACCGGAATATCTTTGCCTCGAGTCATAAAAAAATGAAAAAAAATGATTACTATTAAAAAAATTCGACGACTAAACTCTCAATAATCAAGAAAACATCTTTTACCAAATACATCATCCCGTAAAAGAAAAAAAATGTCAACACCAGGAAAACCCAAGCTCTCTGGTCTGAAAAACTGTTCCTCCCCAAACAAAAGAAATGTGTTCGCCACCCGCCGGAGACATTTTTTTTTGCTCACGTAACTCTCACACTCTTCACGAAACGTTTCTCCGTCGAGTCCAAATGTCCGCATACATAGCATTGTATCCCCCTAATTTCAAGAATCCTGAACCCACAGAAAAAACAACACTTAAATACCCGAGATCTTTAAAATTCGTCAGTTGAAACCAATAAAAAGGTCGTCAAAATGTCAAAGCACAATGGCCCGATTCATCTCCTCGGCACTGCACAGTGTCTCTTTTTCTCAAAACCCCCCAAAAATTCGTTCCACCTCGACTTCAACCTCTGCCCCAAAACTCCAAGTCCCATAATTTTCCTCCCACTCCCTCCCTCCCCCCCCCTCACAATTTCTCCACCCATTTAAAGAGCAATAAGTGTGTACAAATCCTCAGAACGCATTCCACATGTCCATTCACAGTGGCACCGCGGTCCTTCACAGGATGTTTATAAACAAACAGATAAAGACTACTATAAGCAAGTGTAAACGCAACTCCAGTCTTCATCGATGGCAGTACTGAGGCCTGACTCATTTGGGTTTAAAGAAAAAAAAAGGGGGAGTGCGACGTTTGTAACGAGATCGATGGGATTTCTTCTTCAGTTTGTGGGGAACTGTTGAGTGCGAGGGATGTGACAATTACCTTGGGCTTCTCACGTCATCAATTGAATAATTGAGAGTAATATAATCAAAAGAAAAAGTATCTTGGAAAGATCGAGATGTTATCGTAGTGAATTTTGATTATTCTAATGGTGCGGAAAGTGTCATGGACGGATAATTCGACCCCTCGGTGCGTTGATAACGCAACGATAACCGCAATGCCTCTGTCAGGTAAACCCATTCATTCGGATCAATCGCAAGTTCCGGTTGAAATCTATAAATAGTTTTTTCACGAAATGCCATGACGCGTCGTGGCGTTTTTTTTTTTTGAGTGAAAGATTTTTTATTTTTATCGATCCGCAGGTTATCTGGTAAACATTGCCAAACCCTTGTATGGTTTAGATAGGAAAGGCGTCTCATCACGGGCCCAAATGCCGGTTTCGTGTGTATCGACGTGCAACGCGCAATGTGATCGATAGATATAAGATCCTGATACAAGATTTATTATTAATGCGTAAAAATATCGGTCTGAAACGTGATGATACGGAAGTACGAGAGCGAGTGGTATCTATGATTCATTTGCACTCATTTTTTTCGTTAGACTTGTGAGTTTACGATAAAAGAACGAGTTAAGGTGACGGAAATTGGTGGAATGTGATTGGAGGTTTCGTAATTGTGGGGTTATCTTCGGAGTGAGTGATTTTAGGGGTAAATTGGAAAAGACATTTTCGATGGATAATTGTGTCAGCTACGAAAAAGGTCTTTTGATGTTTTTTGATATAATTATTCTGCTATAAGATATCTTGTGATTAATATACATTGAGATTTTTTTATATGCCGGCGTAATTGTGAAATTATTTTTGGAACGGGTGGTTTTAGGACGAAATGTCGGACGGTTTTTGATGAGTCTCGTTGTGTTTTCAGATGGATTTTTTTAGTTATGAGATATTCAGTGCATTGATAGGGTTACCATGTTTTTGTCTGCATTATTGTGGATTTTTTTCGGCCCTGACTTCAGAACCACATACGGATTTTTAGAATCAATCAGTTTACGAGAGATTCAGTTAGTTTAATATTCTGTTAGATTACTTCTTTATTTATTACTTTCTCATTACTTTTCATTACTTACTTACTCACTTACTATATTTTATTATTTTTTTCCGATTTTTTAAATCACACTACACTAAAGCCTCAGGACAATTTGAAAAAATTTGACCTCTGATTTTGAAGTGCCAAGGAGCACTATCAATGACAATATTCGCCAAAAATATCATAAGTAGTTGGATTTTCTAATTTTTATTCCGAAACTCCGGGCCGTGTAGCGTGTATAAGGCGAATTTACAGAAAAACATGGCAACTTTGAGCTTGAATAGATAATTAAGGATAACACTGAACATAAAAAATCTCACGGGACTTCTTCAAGTATACGATCTACATCACTCTTGATTTTTTTCAGCTTTTTCTGAATTTTTCAAATTTATCCTTATGTCGATTTTTGACGGCGCGTGCGGCGCGACGAACGGCGTTCGTGACTTTTGCACGACTAACGGAGTGTTAAAAAAATACCATTCTTCACTTTGTCTGCCTGAATGTCAGATTATTTTCGCCGAGGGTAATTTTTAAAAGAATGTTATAGGATGTTTTCAACGGGAATTTCTTCAATCTAATCGCGCATTTACGAAATATTTATTCTTATTTTTTTAGGCATGCAATCGATTTCTGATAAAATTTTGAATGTGAATAAATTTGTTTGTTAATTTAAAAAAATGGGAATTTTTCAATGATTTCATCAATCTTTCTCCAAAAGTAAACTTTTCAATTTTGTTCAGATTTTTAGAATGTTTTCGAACGGTTCAATATCGAGATTCAAATTGACACCTGCAAAGTGTCAATAATAAAATCATTGTAAAATTTCCGGAAACTTAGGATCAATTGGGGCTCAAATGAAAGCTCTGATGTTTCACTACAAAAGTAGAAAAGCATTTCACTGAGGAAAAACCAGCCAAAGTGCTTGGATATCCTTAAAACCTAGACAGAAATTACAATTTTGTGACTCAGCGATTTGACAACGAAATGTGGACAGTCCCTTTCGATGACGAATCTTGCCGGCTACAAGAAGAGCCTTTCGATATTCCCCGACGAAATTGTTCTATTGCAAGATATTTGTCTACACTGACAAATTCAATTATAATATCCGCCTCCACTTTGCATGATAAACTCACCCTAATCGGAGAATTCCTTTTTCACCTAAAACAGTCATATATACTATTTCGCATTAGTAAAATAAAAAAATATATTATTTCGCATCTATGCGTAATTGTGGAATTATTTTGGGAGTGAGAGACGCTGGACGGAAGTGCATCAAGATGAAAATCTGGCAATAATCGCCTCCGAATTTGAATAATTATGTAGCGTGTTGGCTTTTCAGGAAATTCATAACAAAATTCAGGTAAAAAATGCAATAGTCAAGTCAAGCTTCTGATCATTTTTAGTCAAAATTTCACAAAAGATTCCCAGTTTTTCACCAAAATACTATCCTTTTTAACCAGAACCATAGCAATTACTATTGGAGTTCCAAATTACAAGGGAATTTTAAACTCAAGAGAGTTCAGAAATTCAGGAGCTTATTGAAATTTAAGGGTATTTTTTGACCAATTATTTTTCTACGTGTCTCACTTTCGAAAGAAAATTTCAACGGGTCAATAGAAAAAGGGCTTTAATCATTCGACATTGAAATCATTCGTCTTGTAAATACAGTAATTACTACTGAAATATTTTCAAACATTTGAAAATTTCAATTTGGGATTTTCGAAAATCTCAATTTGAGATCATAAGTCTTAAAGTGAAGCTTGTTTTTTTTGTGTAGCCTACTCGTTGCAGTAGCTTTAAATTGAAAAGGAAAAATTGAAATTCTCAATTCAACTCAATTCAATTTGAAGTTTCCTATAGAAATACAGTCTAGACATTGTAAGTACATTTCCCCGTATGAATATCGATTATTTACAGTTACGTAATGTCTTATGCACAGGGGAGAACGTGGGATGTCGTTTGGAGACCGAGAGAACCCTGGAAATCCTGAAGAATCGATTGTATTCTAGGAGGATTATTCCACTATCTGGTGGTGACGGATTTAAAGGGATGTCTAGGGTGCCACTGATACAGACAGCGATGAGAGGTGGGGAAGATGACAATCCGCATGATAAAGTTATTTTCGAGGTGAGACTATTTACAATCTCTCGTTCAATAGAAAAATTATGAAATGAAACTTTTTTATCGAAAAATACCATGACCAAATATTATGTTTACCATTGGAGAATGTATTTTTTCACTAAAACATTTTACTTTTCATCATGGAGGAAAAAATTACCGCAAAATTACGGTACGATTTAGATAAATGGGGAGCGAAATTGCCTTTCAGGAATTTTTACTTGAAATTAAGGGGAAATTACTATGAGTTTTAAAATTCGCGGGCTATTGGAGTGTGATTTATCCTACATTGAAAATTGACTATATAAGTGTAAAAATGAACGAAGTTTACTTACGAAATAATTCATTTCTATTAGTTTTTTTGTTAATTCTATGGAAAAAAGTAGCCAAAAATAGCCAATAGGTACTAATACGCGTTGTGTGTGATAGAGGACAAAATGACCGGTCATTTTCGGTCATTTTGGCCGCCTACCTATTAGAATATTACGCAGTTGTTCCACGCATTCATTTGAGGGGAGACTACTACGAGTTTTAAAATTTGCGGGCTATTGAAGCGAGATTTATCATGCATTGAAGATCCATTATATGTCTAAAAGCGAAAAAATTGCACCATTCATGTAAAATAGCCAGGAAAATGATCCTCAAAATATTTAAAATATATTCTCGATTCTATCAGAAACATTTTTCTGGCTATTTTACATAAATGGTGCAATTTTTTATGTTAAAAAAAGAACGAAATTAGCTATGTAGGAGTGGAATATCGGAAAACTAGCCCGTAATTGTGATTGTACATATTTTTTCAAAAATTAAAAAAAAGCCTCTGTAGCTAAAAATTTGGAGGCACTGGACGATTTTAAACATTTTAAGCGCGTACGGGGCAAACTAATGATAAAAAAATTTTTTGCACTAATTATCCGTTTGTAGACGTATAAAATCAGTCTTCAATCCTATCGCAAAAAGGAGAAAGGAAATCGATCTCGAAATATCTCGAAAATCTCGAATAAGCGTAAGCGTAAGACTGAAACCGAAGCGCCACTACGTAAGAAGACGAGAATGCGCGTGCGCAGCACGCGCGGCCGATCTCGTGTATGAAAAAACTCCGATAGCCCGTGACTTTAAAAACTCATAGTAGTCTCCCCTTAAGGTATATCCCCAGACAAGACGTTTTTCTTAAGATTGTCCTCATGTTTTCCATAGATAATGTTTATAATAGGCCGCAGCTATTGAAGAAAATGGTAACTAGCTGTACTACACAGTTGAGGAGATAATAAATAATGAAATGCGGGCTTCTAACATGCGAGGCATAGGCCAAACGGGGGTTAGAGGAACTCGATTTTCCCATCTTATGAGTAAACAGTTCTTACGATGTTCTTAAAAAACTAATCCGTGATAGATTAATAAATTCCCAATGCGGTAAATTTTTTATAAAATTTTGTACTACATAGCTTCTGCGATTTTCAACACTAACAATGGAAGTTTCGTGACAGCATTCCTTATTTGATTAAAAAAATTAATTAACTAATAATTTCTTATTTGATTCAAACAGTCATTGTTGCCTGCACCAACAATACATGCCAATTGAAAAATTCAATAAGTCATGAGAATGCAATAAATTAAATTATTTAGAATTTTTTCTGGAAATCCATAGAGACTAACTTTTGGATCCGATTGTCTTGGGATATATCTTAAGGGCAAGGTATGAGGCGTTTTCTTTTAATAACTTAATTTCTCGGAAACGAAAAGTAAATTTTTTTAGTTGTTATACCTTTTTCAGAATATTTTCGCCCGTACACCATTCAATAATTTCGACTGCACTTTCCTGTTATTTATTATTAACGAACGATCTATTGTTAACGAACGAATTTGATTGCAAACGAAGGTCTTTTCAGTCTCACCAAATGTTGATTCGGTAACAAATGCACATTTGAGAAGGCTTGTTTGACTCGATTTTCACCTTTCAAGTAACAAATATTCATTTGGTCATATTCAACTCTACCGTTCGTTAATAATTAACGAATCTCGTTTGGAATGAATGAATCAGTTTATCAGTGCCCGCTTGATCCTTCCATCGTTTAACCTTTTCTTGTTTGACCTTTCCCCATTTTAGCCCTCATTTGAGCATTCAGTTAAAGAAGTATTGATTCATTAGCTCAAACAGACGGGAAATGCGATCCAGACGGAGTAGCGGTCTGACAGACCGCAGGGTACGGTAACCGTGCATTTTCGGAGGGGTTCGGTCTAAACATTAAAATAGTAAATTGTGCACTAAGTGCAGAAAGTCATATTTTTCCTGCCTGAAGTACACATGCTGTTTTTAAACATACGTGGAAAGGAAAGTTTGTATTTTCCTTTTTGACGAGCAGGAAGTACTCACTTTTCCCGCGCTTATCAGGAAGCAAAGTACGGACTTTCTGTACAGGTGTGTGAAAAAAGTTTTTCTCTCCATGAAAAATCATTTCTTCTCTCAGAAAATGTCTCTCCTCTCAATCCAAAAGAGAGTATTTTTCATAAACGAAGAGATTTTTCTGCAAAAATTATATATTAGTAATTGAGAAATAATTTCGTCTGCAAAATATTATTTTTAGTAAAAAATACATTTTCAATTAACAAAATTTTTTCATCACAGAATCAACGTTTGTTTATCCAATTTTTTTTTCTTCCCAGGAAAATGTTTTTTCCCACTTGAAGAATCTAATTATTCCTCTAAAAATGTTCAATCAGGTGGGACTACCTGGCGATACATGGAAATACAGCGTAGATCGTCAGAGTCTCGCTGAGAAGTCCGAATGGTTCCGTGCCATGTTAGTGGGACCATTTGCACCACCACCGAGTGATCCTCCTCCCACAGTGGCAATGCCGCACGTCGACAAACGAGCGTTTGATAATCTCTTCAGTCATATTCGTGGTGAATCCGTGAATTTCAGTGGTGTGGTGACCGCAAGAGCAACCCTGGATATTGCACATTACTACTTGTGCCCGGAATTGGCAAAAATGGCCGTGGATTACCTCACTAAGAACCTCGACGCCTCCTCAGTGCTTGCGGTTTACCATGGTCTGCATCTTTATGCACTTGGCGATGTGGATACGGGGGAGAGGGGGCCCTCGGCGCCACCATTACCTGGAGATGATGCTAATGAAATTGGTGAGTATTGAAATTGATTGAGAGGAGAAATCTGTACGTGAGAATTACCTCTTCATTCGACGATGATTCGATGTGTGAAGTTTAAAGGAAGAACACACAAAAAAACGTAAGCGTAAATTACGTTCAAGAGGTAACGGTACCTCTTGTATGTGTTGATTTTTAGAATCGTCCTCGTGTCCAAAGTTATTAATTTTTGGAATTCAAAACACTACAATCACTGTATTATTATATTGTGCAGTGCCTGAAGTTTTTTGGTTTCCAAAAATTAATAACTATTGACACGACGACGATTTTAAAATTCAACACAGGCAAGGGGTACCGTTACCTCTTAAGAAGTCGTCTTTGACATTTTCTAAAGCGTATTTTACGCTTAAAATTGAAGCGCAAATTACGCTCAAAATCGTCGTAAATTGCGGTTACGTAAAACGTAATTTACGGTTCCGTATTCGTAAATTACGATGATTTTTTCCACGATGAAGAAAAAAAATGGTTTCAAGTATAAAATAGGATGTTTCTTCCCTAAATTACGCATAAATAAATTGTAAAATCGTTTAAAATATTTTACGTTCTCGACCGAAGTAAAATTCTATAAAATGTGTGAGTTGGAACTGAAATTGTACGAATCGCCACGTAAATTCTAGGATTTGTTCCGTAAAAATTAATTAACTGTGTGATGACTCACCGTTGTAGGAACAATAAGTCGTTCCGTAATTTTTCCCCAGCGATTGAGAAATTTTACGGAACGAAACGTAGAAATAACTCACCAGCTTTATAAAAATTGTTGGACGTTCAAAAATTTTTGATTTTGGAGGCATAATTGGTCGGGAAGTTTCTGGAAGATTTTACTTCTTCGGAAAAAATTACATGACGCTTCGTACTTTGTTCGGTGAGGAAGCTGAAAATTCACTCAGTTCAGATTTCTTCTGTTCCATTCCTATAAAAATTGCCGGAAAGCGATTCCCCATTGCGGATTACGTGTATTATACCGTAATTTTTACTGAATATTTCTCTTCGTGTACTCGAATCAAGAATAATACACTTGAATCAAGTATGTTTTATTCTTGAATCAGGTTTATGCATATACTCCTGGTACACTATTCTGGTATAAAATATACTCAATTCAAGTATATTTTTTTCCGTGAAGAGAGATAATTGTTTTTAGTTTAGGGGAATTCATGCATGATGATGATTCATTTTGCAGCTGTGGCATGCACCAAATTATTGATCGCCTGCTTGGCTGTAATCGACGGTGCTCCAGACGACGTACTGCGTCAAGAGGCTTTCGAGGAGTTGAGCATACACGAAGTTGCAAACCTCGCTCGGAGGGACGATCTCAAGCTCGCCAAAGAGAGTGTTCTATTCCGTGCTTTAGACAGATGGGCAGCCTCAGATTGTCGGAGACGTGGGTTGGAACCCAATGTCGCCAATAAGAGACATGCCCTGAGTGATGACGTCTGGTACAGTGTCAGGTACCTTCTCATGGATGATAAAGAGTTCATTGAGGGACCTATGGCTAGTGGGCTTCTCAGTAGTACGGAGTCTGCGACCATCGTGGCGAGGATTCTGGGGCATCAACAACAACGTGAAACTGAAATGGTAAAAATAACATTCTTCTTGAAATACTTTGGAAGTTTTTGGCATTACGAGCGCCGCGGGCGGCCGGGGTGTTGATGCCCTTTCATTATACCCTTTTTCCTGTAGATTCGATATTCCTTTTTAGGCCGATTACACTTTTACAAAGTGTAATCGGTCTAATCTAATCAATTGAATTATAATCCATTAAATTGTCAAACTAATAGAAAATTATTATTCTCATCAGTACTCCCAACAATAATAAAAGTTGATAAACAAAAGTTGATAAAAATTTTGTTTGCTTGAATTGCGTCAAATAGTCGCTTTTCGGCTGTTTCATTTTGCCCCACTCTCCTCTACTATTTCGCTTTTTTTAGGCATGTACAGTAGACTCTCGTTATTGTCGCTTTCGTTATAGTTGCATTTCCCCGTGGTCGCTCTTTGGCCGGCGTAAAGCCACATGACACATCGATATTTTCTTAGATTCGCTATTGTTTCATCTTTCCAGGAGATAGTAAATGTAAAATACTCTGACAGTAAATTTTCGTAAAACTGGGCGAATGATGGGGATAGGGAAATATAGCCGCAATCGCCGTATCGGCGCCCCATACAGCTCCAGACATGCGACTGTAATATAACGGAAGTCTATTGTATGTGCTTATCTTATGGCGCTTACTCAGACCCCCCCCCCCCCCCCCCNCCCCCCCCCCCCCACTTCTTTTACACCGAGACAATTTGCAACGTTTTTAAAGCAAAGGATTAATCCCTCAAGGTGAAAAGCGTTGTAAATCATAGTACGACGCTCGAGTGGAGACGCGGGTATTTTGTTTTGACCCCCATAGAGTGAGGATATTGAAATTGAACGGATTAATAAAGCTATTAGATACATTCGGTTTAAATACGTTCGGAAGCCTCCAGTCTAGACGAGTTTGTAAAAAGTTTTGTAAACCTCATCGTTTTTCAGATATTTTTAAAACCATCGGTATGAAATTTTTATAATAATAGTAAATTATACATCCAGTGCGGAAAGTTGTGTTTTCTTCGCCCGATGTGCATATGCTATTATGTTACACGCTTCGCGGGAAATCTGACTTTTACTTATGCCAAGGCAAAATAGTATTTCATGTCATCAGGCGATTAAAGTATTATCTGACGAATGTGATTGTATAATTCGAGCCGAAGGCGAGGATTATAATCACATGAGGCAGATAATACTTTTTCGCTTCGCGTGCCTAAAACGTCCCCTTTCTACACATTGTGATGAAAAATATCGTTCGATACTCATGGGAAAAGTGTTTTTTTGGCTCGTGGGATTACGTCACTCGCCTTCGGCTCGTGCTAAACCTCCCACGAGCCAAAAAACACTGTTCCGCACTCGTATCGGAATATACTATTTTGACACTGCTGCTACACTGAGAGAAAAACAAATACGTTGTCAAACAAGTCTTGTTTGGGCCAATAGAGTCGCTCGTTGAAAATTGCCAAAAAAGAATTTATTTGGTTCGAATTTGAAAGTCTCAAACATGAATAATTGTTCTGGTTTCGACAGCAACGAAATATTTGGCTCAAGGGGCGGATAATTCACACCAGACGGTGCCTTTTCACAATGAAAATATCTCATATAGAGGAAAATTTATCAACAAATATTTTATCCATAAGTTAAAAGATGAGATGTGTATAAGAGACAGCAATGAAAATATCTCATATAGAGGAAAATTTATCAACAAATATTTTATCCATAAGTTAAAAGATGAGATGTGTATAAGAGACAGCAATGAAAATATCTCATATAGAGGAAAATTTATCAACAAATATTTTATCCATAAGTTAAAAGATGAGATGTGTATAAGAGACAGCAATGAAAATATCTCATATAGAGGAAAATTTATCAACAAATATTTTATCCATAAGTTAAAAGATGAGATGTGTATAAGAGACAGCAATGAAAATATCTCATATAGAGGAAAATTTATCAACAAATATTTTATCCATAAGTTAAAAGATGGCTATCATATCATTATTATTGTTTCATTTAAGGGTTCATTTCTTCTCTGTGAGTATTAGACAGCCGAAACGAAAAACTAGTATCCCTTGTTCTGCATAAAGCAAAGATTTTTCGGGAGCAAAATACGTATGGGAGTATCGAATAACGAAGAAGTAGTGCTAGAAATGACGTTTCTTGCGTGTACAGAGAATGCAATTTTTTTTGAACTACTAAATCTATTTTTGCGACAAAAATTTTTCATTCCGGCGCACTCTCTACATGTTTGGCACAAAAAAATCCTTTTTTAATAATTTTCAAAAAACTATTTTCTTGGCACAAGTAAGACTTGTTTGAGAACTTTGCCGTTTTTCTCTCAGTGTGTGTTCACTTCGTGTCGAAAAGTGCCTTTTCATTCACTTCTAAATGAAAAGTAAACGAAAAGCCTTTTCGTTTACTTGTAAACGAAAAACGCACAGTTCCGCCACTCGCTGAACGTAACATCATTGTCAAAATAGTATATTTCGTAACGAGTGCAAAAAAGTGTTTTTTGGCGAGTGGGAGGTTTATATCACGAGCCGAAGGCGAGTGATATAATCCCACGAGCTACTAACAATATTTTTCATCACAATGTGGCGGAAATTGGACTTTTAGGCACGTGGAGCGTGCCGAAAAGTGCACTTTTCGTCACAGCGTGATGAAAAATATTGTTCGACACATGTGAGACGGGAATTTTCAGCTTATGTGATTAACAGCCCTTGGCTTTGCCTCGGGCTGCCAACTTCGCCAACTTTTTTCACAAAAAAAATTCAATGACGGGTATCTCTCAACCTAAAATTCCATAAATATTTCCAAAATATTGTTAAAACTATCCAAAAATCGTAATGATCTCTTTTTGTTGCGGTTCCAGAATCAAACCGTCCCTCATCGCCTATCCACAACCCCAAGAAGACGTAAATCTCCGTCGAAGAAGAACCCAGCGAAGAATAAATCAAAGAACTCGGGCATGAAACCAGGCAAAAAAGAATGCGAGGACAACAAAAAAAATCGCAGAAAAGAGTGCGCTAGTCAGAGCCAACGGGTTTGTTCGCGCGTTGGTGATTTGGTCGTTCGTGTTCTCGCCTGTGTTTTTGACTGAAGAATATTACTTATAGAATGATTGTTAGACTAATCGAATTGTTCGTTTAATTTCAATTGAGCCAAGTCGTGAGGGCAATTTTACCAATTATTTTCAGACTGATGGTCTCGACTTGATTTAACTAATTGATTTTAGATATACGACATTTTATTACTGTTGATCTCAAGAGAGACTTAGAGCAATTCTTGTTGATTGATTGAATGCCACCGATTTTATAACGAAATATTTTTAATGTTTTTATACGATGATAGTTGCGTCGGGATGAATTTTCGCGTAATTTTCTTTTTAAGTTCATTATGACTTTAAGAGCCAATCGCTGTGACCTATAGTCTACTTGTATTTTTGCTATTTTTTTGTAGGAAAATTGATTATTATATTTTTTGATCATGATTAGTGAGAATCGATTCATTTTTGTGGTCTATTACTAGGTGGATTACATGTTGAATGTTGATATTACGCAATCAGTTCGTTGTGTTCATGGTTGTTGAGAGTATACCGATGTTTAAACTTTGAATAGGAATGTGAAATTTAATAGGTGGAGATGATGTTTCATTGTTTATTGGATTGTTTAATTGAATTTTATTTTCGATAGGTAAATTTGAGTATGGATTATTGAATAGGATGATGTAAAATGATGGATCGATCTAATATAATAAATCATTGCGAATAAATCTGATGCTTTGAGTATTTATTCATTTTATGCCAATTCCGGGGGAGTCATCTTTGTTTATAAACGGAATGATTGGGATTTTTAGTCGACGATAAATGGTGTGCTTCCACTGTTGGAAAAGACAATTAAAATTTCATAAATAGTTTAACTGGAATTTTTCCGAGAGTGAAATTAACTTGATTTAGGCCCGGTTGCACCAAGCCCTGTTAAGCAAATAAATCCTAAGGTATAATTTATCCTCGGGGTGAATTACATCCAAGGGATAACAATTTTTGTTTCCAAAGCATTTTAATCGTCCAAATTTTCACATTTTCTAATTGTGATTGCAAATGATGTAGAATGGCCTGAAACGTAACACTACGAAGTTTGTCACCATGCCCACCGCCACCTTCCCGTTGGTAAATTTTTACAAAATTGAATAATTAAGGCTCGATTTGATTATCTTTCCAATGTTATCTAGATTGTTTTTTGTCACTTTTTTTACCTAAATACGTCTATGGTTTCAATATGAGGGCTCATTTTAGGAAACGACCTTTTCTAGATATTGCGAGGTAATTTGAGAAGTTTCTTGAAATTTCGAAAAAATTCAAGGAGTTTCTAGAAATTTCGAGGAAATTCAGGGAGTTTTTAGAAAATTCGAGAGAATTCAAAGAGTTTCCAGAAAATTCGAGGGAATGCAAGGAGTTTCTAGGAAATTACAAATACACAGTATCGAAGATACATTCGCCTGCAATTTTTCATCAGAAAATTTCCATTTGGTTTTGCATGATGCAGAGAACCGTAAAAAATGAAAAATTTTGATAGAGCGTTTTTAAGTTTTAAGTTTAAGCGCCGTGTCAACCGCCATTGGGGGGAGGAGGATAAACTCTTAAATCCTTTGGTAGACTACACATAAACAACTGATCTAGAAAAGGCTCCTTAAAAATTTTGTAATATTTAAAAAAAAATTTGATTGCACTTTCACTATGAAATAAGGATCATTCACGTCGTAAAACTCTTATGAAATATAAGGTGCAATCAGCTGTCACTTCTATGGAGAATTGAATAAAAGTGACAGTTGCCAATCCAGTAGTAATTTCCAAAAAAGTGACGGCTGATTTGCACCTCAATGTTCATAACAGTTTTACGCGACGAATAATTATTATTCCGTAGTGAAAGTGTAATCGAAATTTTTTTTTAAATACTTAAAAATTTTTGAAAGGGCCTTTTTGGATCAGGTGCTTATGTGCAGTGTATCAAAGGATTTACGAGTTCGTCTGTCTCCCCCGATGACGGCGGTTGAGACGACGCCACTTGCCACGGTAAATAACACATTTCTAATTCTCACATTTTTTGCGTTATTCCTCAATAAAAATGGAAAATGCTCTTTCGAAATTTTCCAATATTTTTTTACTTTTTTTTGAGCACACATTTATATTTCTTGAAGTTCTCTACGTCATGCAAAACTGATTGGAAATTTCTAGATAAAAAAACTGACAAAAAAAGGATCTTGATTACATTTGAAAGATAATCCAACCGGGCCTTAAGTGGCTAGAGTAATTCCAAAAAATTGGAAATTTTGTCAGATTATAGGTCTTAATGAGAACTAAGGTAACTAGACCAATAGACAGACGGTTAAGGACAATTTGAGGTCCGTCGAGAGATCAAAAATTGATAAATCACCTAAATACGCCAACGATAGGTTCTATACCTGAAAAATATATGAAATATAATTTATGGTTCATAAGTGGTCGATAACTAATGAATTTTGAAATGAAAAAATAAAAAAATGAAAAATTAAGACAAATTTAAAAAAAAATATTTGAATGGGATTTTTTTGGATAGAACGAATCCGAGTTCCAGTTCAATTTTTTAATATGTTCTGTAAAAATAGTCATTTTGGGTAAAGAATAAAAAAATCTCCAATCGAGGTGAGGGAAGGGGGTACCACGTAAATTTTCGACTTTTTCGGCGTTTTTAAAGCATTTCTGATTATGGGAGCTAATTGGCATCATGCTCAATCGACAAAACGGAAAATTTCCGTCGGAAACACTTATTGAAAAGCCGAAAAAATGGACCTATACTCAAACACAAAATTTTGTCAAAATCTCTCAAAACTTAGAAAGTAACGTTGTGGGGGTAATATAATTTGAATAAAAAATTTTTAGACCTTTTGAATGATAAGAAAGCCATCTAGAAGCTATACTAACAATTGGTGAAAACATCCATATAGATGTTTTAACACCAATTCGCTTACAAATTATTTGAAACCATCATTTGTAGTTAGAAAATTTGTGCGTCATATGACCGTAATTTTTTAAATCCCGTCATATGAAAAAAATGACGGTTAAACGACCGTCATTTTTTAAATCACGTCATATGAAAACAATGTCGGTCATTTTGCATCTCTACTCGTAAGCCGAGACTTCATCACAGGCGATAGATTTTCCCCCTGTGCGATAAAGAAGAACTCGACCGTTACATCTTCAGAAAAAGAAGTAATTTCCCTCAATTTTGTATTCATTATCTACTGCCGTTGGATTTAAAATCTAGCAAAATTTCAAATTTTCAAAGACCAATTTCCACAAACTTTACTCAACACTTTACCGCCATTAAAATTGTTCAAATAGAATGTGAATGGGCCTAGACTAATTACATTCGCCTCCAATGAATTGCCGACGTAACGACTAGCCAACCCTCGAGCTTCCGTAATTTCGTCTCGGGGAAAATGAAATTGACCACTATGAGGTGACCGCAGACAGACAGGACATGGGCTGACTCACTGGCCCATTTCCTCAGGTGCAAGGGGTAGGGGTAGAGGCAAGTGTAGGGGTGACGAACCGTGCTTTAAATACGACCCCCAACTTTCCGACGGTCATTCTCCATTTTCATATCGTAGCGAAAGTGTCTTTCAATAATTAAAACTTTGAGTGTTGAATTACTACTGCGTTGACAGTCAAACATGTTTTCAATCCTACGAGTATTTTGTGTTCTCGCACTGTGGACACTTCCGGTTGCCCGGAGCTCCATGTTTGTTGTGTCGAGGGATGTGTGCAGAGATCGAGTTATCGAGTGCTTGATATCGTCGAAGGAAAATAGACCTGTTTGTGGGACTGATGGCATTACGTACTCTTCTCATTGTCAAGTGGTCGGAAAACAGTGCAGGGGAGACTCGGTACTTGTTAATTATGCGGGATCCTGCATTGGTAAGTTTTTCATGTTTTACGTCTATTTTGAATTTATTTTACTTGACTCATTGGGAGATAGTTTTCTACTTTTTCGGGAGAGTTGATAAATTTATGATTTTTTCCGTAATTAAACGCAGACATTACTGATGCCTTGAAGAAGTCCAAGTTCATCCAATGGCGGAAAGTGATAACTGGTTGAAGAAGTCAAATGGTCGACTTTAGCTTTTTGAATTTGACATTTTCCCTTAGGATTATAAATTTTCCAAATACTTCGTCAATTAAGATTATGCAAGTCTGTTTTACAGTTCTGCAAGGACTACACTACAGATTTGGGGATCTTCAGTTATTAATTATTTGTTATTTAAATTTCGTGGTACAAAATTAAAAAAAAAAGAATAAGCAGCCTTATTCGAATTACATTTACAGTTACTTCTTTTTCGATCATTCGCTTATTATAATCGAGTAGTGGCAATTGTTGAACTTTTCGGAATCCATTTTTTCTGCACAAAATCGTTACGAAATTGTCACGCTGCCGAAAGAATGATTTTTAAGATGGAAAATTGATTGTTATATCAATATCTCGATAAATATTGTGAATTCATAAAAACATGATGATGATGAATATTTATGAAAGTATGTTGTAATCTTCAAGAACGGCAATTTTCCAGTTTCCAAGAATCTTCTCCGACCGGTGACTTGCTAATTTTCTCTCATTTTTGGAATGTCTCCTAAGCGGTTTAAAATGAAGGATCAAATTTACACGTTAGATAATTCAATCAAATTATTGATTATTTCGATCGGTTTTTATGTCGAAAACGATTGATTTCAAGAGAAAACATCAAAACACACGTTTATTCAGATAATTTCTCTTTTCCAACTTGAACATTTCAGTCACTTACTAAATCAACAGAAATTATTCTTTCTATATACGAAAATGATGCGGAGATGATCATACATAAAATAAACGATCTTCTAGAGGATCTGGTTGGGGAAAATGTTGAGATTCCATTCTTAGACTGCCAGAAATTCTCACACTGAGAGAAAACGTTTCATATGAGAATATTTGACGGAGTGGAACAGATTTACGCGGGAGAAATTAACCACCTTGATAGAAGCAAATTTAATATCTTTCACATAAATTCAATTTTTGTCGTGATCATCAGAAATATCTAGAGAAATACGCTTCGAAAAGATGAATTTTTCTCCCAAGCAAATAATTCTTTGGCAAAAGTAATTTTTTTTCTCAATTACAACCATTAACTGCAATTTTTTGTTATTTTTTTCTCTCGATTGCAATCAAATTTTCCTGAAAACTTTCTTTTTTGCCCCAAGTAAATTGATTCAACCAGACAAAGGATCTCTCCAAGGGAACGTATAATTTTTCTTCAAAACAAATTTCTTCTCTCAGTGCATCACAAAAGATGATCTTTCTCCGTATTCGCGCATTTCTCATATGATATCTAAATTATCCCTCATTTCATATTAATTTCTAATAAACAATTACCAATTCGCAAATATCTTCAAACACACAGAAAACGTTGTGCAGATTATCTGCAATCTTATGCAGGTTTTACACATAAGCTCCGCGAACCTCCCACTATGTGTAAAGTCTGCATAGTTATGCATGAAATATGCATAAAGTATGCATGAAATCTGCTAGTAACCAATTGCAGATTATCTGCACTATTTATGCATGTTTCGCCCATAAGAGTTCTGCAGAAAAAAAGCCAGTACTCACCGAAACTTTAACGAATTGCGACTTCAACAATTCGGAATTTTATAGAGAAAGCAAGAAAAAATTGTAAATTCTAAATTAATAATTTAAGGGGATAATGGGACAAAATAGAACAGTAGAGGAAAATGAAAGAGCGCTGTTTGTTGTATTAGTTTCGACTCTTCATCACGCTGTGGGTAGCTAAGGTTTCAGTTTGTCTCAGCCTCTCCTATAAAAGGTAAATAAGTTGAAGAAAATAAGTACGCATGAAAAAATTTAGTAGAAAATCCTCGCAAATTTGCTAGACAGTTCTTTTGAATTGTTAAATAGAAAATATTCTATTGATGCAGTTCCACATAAAAACGCAAGGTCAAAAAAGTCAATTACGGGGATTTTTTCGCTAATTTTTTTCTCCTGAGTGGTATGAGAGTTATTTATCAGGTTGCATTTTAATGGTTTAAATGAGAACATTGCTGAAACTTGAAAAAGTAAGAATTCATTTTCTTCGTATATCCATCAAAAACGTTGTTTTTCACGTTGTTAGCTTAGAAATGCCCCTTGTACCACAGTTTTCATCCGATTTCAACTTTTTTAAAAATGTTTGCTATACTCCAACGAACAAACCCAAGTATCCGTTTTGCTTTTTTTTTATCAGATAATGAGAAAAGGATTTTTTTAGTTTCCATTTTTTTTCCTCTTTTTAGCAAATGCTAAAACTAGTTGTTTTTCGTTATTCCACGTTGTAATCATACGTGATCGAAATATTATAATAAAAAAAAATGGGGGAAAACAACGAATTTTAGCATTTTCTAAAAAGAGGAAAAAAAATAAAAAGTAAAAAAAAACATTTTCTCATCATCTAATAAATATAAAGTAAAACGGATACTTGGGTTTTTTCGTTGGAGTATAACGAACATTAAAAAAAAAAAAGTTGTAATCGGATGAAAACTGTGGTCCAAGAAGCCTTTTTAAGCTAAAAACGTGAAAAATGACGTTTTTGGTAAATATACGGGGCAAAACGGTTCGAGTCCGAAATTTTTCTCACTTTTTTATATATCCCTTCATATATCAAAAGTCATCCAATGGCTGTTGAGGCCGAGTCGAGACTTTCAAATTACACCGCGGTCTCCCATTAAAATTTTTTTTTCTGAATGTTGTTTAAAACTTTAGAAATTCCTCGATTATTTTGGGAAACTCAAATTTTATTCAAATTTCCAGAACACCTAAGAATTTTATTCAATTTTTTAGCAATTCCGGAAATTTCTTCAGAGTTTCTAGAAACTCCTTGAATTCACTTAAAATTTCCAGAAACTCCCTGATTTTTCTCGAAATTTCTAGAATCTTCTTGCGTTTCCTTGAATTTTCTAGAAACTCCTTATATTTTCTCGAAATTTCTAAAAACTCCTTGCATTCTCTAAAATTTTCTAAGAATCCCTGTATTTCCTCGAAATTTGTAGAAGTTTCTCAATTCCCTCGGAATTTTTAGAAACTCCTAGAATTCCAACGAAATTTCTAGAAGCTCTTTGAATTTCCTCGAATTTTCTAGAAATTTCTTGATTTCTTCGAAATTTCTCAAAGCTCCTTGAATTCCCTCGAAATTTCTAGAAACTCCATGCATTTTCTTGAATTTTCTAAAAATTTCTTGAACATTTTAGAATTTTCTAGAAACTCCTTGAATTCTTTCGAAATTTCTAAAAACTCCCTGAAGTCCCTTGAATTTTCTAGAAAAATCTAGACCTGTAAGCTCAATTTCACAAAACGACTCCTCATAACGAAAACATAGACGTATCCTCATCAAAATTTTGCTTTTATGTGTAAATCATGCCAAATCTGTGTGGAAAGTACGCATAGATGTGCAGATAATCCGCATAAAAATGGTGTATTTCATGCATAGCTATGCGGATAATCTGCATAACTATGCATGATTCACGCACTATTTATGCATGATTTGCACATAAGAGAGTGACTTCGGCTTATGTGTGAATCCCGCATAACTATGCAGATTATCTGCACACTTATGCGGATAGTCTGCACAGCGTTTTCTGTGTGATCCAAATATCTAATCCCCCATCAGCAACTACCCCCAAAAAATTGAAACAACCAAAAAACCCTTTTCCCCCAACTAATGTTCTTTCTCCTCCGCTTTCAGAAAACACCCCGTGTTTTTCCGCTCGCCACGGTGCGCCCCACCCCCTCCAGCCGACCTGCAATCCGGACGGGACCTTCACCGCAGTCCAATGTCACCCCCCCTCGGGCTATTGTTGGTGCGTCACCCCCTCTGGAGATCGTCTTCCCGACACCATCACCCGCCACAAAACCCCTCGCTGTCCGCCTCTCCACCCATCCACGCCCCCTCCCCGCCCCCTCCTCCCTTCCACCCCCTCAACCCTCACCAAACGCCAGCATTCCCCCTCGAACCTCACCCCCCTCTGGAACCGTCGAGCGCACTGCACCCGAAAAAATCACCTCCAATTCACCAAGAATCTGCTAAAAACCTTCGAGATCGAGTACAACCGCACAATACTCCCGAACACCACGACCACCACCGACGTCATCGCCTGGAAGTTTAATCAGCTAGACGCAAATACAGACGGTTATTTAGATAAATCAGAGTACGAGGGATTAGTGAGATTAGCCGAGAAGGGAGTGACGCCGAAGAAGTGCGCCAGGTCATTACCGAGGATCTGTGACGTAACCAGAGACATGAGGATATCTTTGCAGGAGTGGAGTACCTGTTTGACAAACATTACGGTTGATTTATTGCGGCGCCACTCCCCGGGGTTACCTGGTGGCCTATTGATTGACGCCCGGGAGGGCCCGAAGGGTGAAGAGGACAATAGCCGTGACGACTGTCCGTCGAAACGTTCGGTTGCCCTCAAGTACCAGCAGAAGACGGCGCAGACGAGTTTGTACATACCTGAGTGCACTGAAGAGGGGATGTACCAGTCCGTTCAGTGTTACTCGGGGTATTGTTGGTGTGTGCACGAGGAGACTGGCGTCTCAATCCCCAGGACTGCCTTGAAGGACGGCAGACCCGATTGCAGTGGGGGACTGCCGCCTGTGAGGGCGATGAAGGGGTGCAGGAGGGGGCGGCAAGAGGATCTTCCCGAGGCGATGATGAGGGAGATGAAGAGGCGGTTCGAGAGTCTGGGCGAAGAGACGAACGCGGATGCTGGGGGGAGCGAGGAGGAAAGGGCCGCCGCGTGGATGTTCTTCTCACTGGATTTGAACAAGAATAAGGTGCTGCAGAGGGGGCGGGAGTGGAAGAGCGTCAGGATGCTGCTCCCTGAGAACAGGTGCGCCAAGAAGTTTCCGAGGTTCTGCGATGTAAATGGGGATGAGAGGATTTCTCTTGACGAGTGGCTGGGGTGTCTCAATGTTGTCAAGGGGACAGGCTATTCTGTACTGGGGGCCAGGGGGGTGAACCCCATCATGGTACTTCATAGTGACTGATGGTGGTAATCGATTTAGCGAAGATTATAGGGGAAATATGGAATTGATGGGAATTTGTGAGGGTTGAGACGGTTTAGAAACTTAGTTTTCAAGGCTTTTTGAGGAGTTTTTTTTGGGTACTAGGGAGAACATTTTTGCTGGGAGATCGGTCGAGAAAATATTTGCAGATTATGTTGCAAATATCTTTAGATAGTTTCTGAGTAAAGGGTAGAAAGAAAGTGTGTTTGTATTCTATCAAATTATCAACGATTTGAAATGTTTATAGGGTAAATTGTTAGAAAGAAATTGAAATTTCTTGAACTGTCCGGTAGTAATTTTCAGGAGAACAACACTGAATTTGATTTGGGAGAAAAAGTCCGAAAATTTTAAAATTTCATAAATGATTTAAAGAAATTTTAAATTTTTCCCATCTTGCTTGGATTTTCAATTAACACAAATGTTCCGTACTAAATTATTATACTGAATTTCAAATTAATTGAAAATTCAAGTTTCGATATATTAATCTATTAATCTATTGGTCTATTATTGATATATTAATTGTTATGAAATAATTAAACTGAAATTTACAGTTTTCATTGAATTTTCAACGACAATACTTTTTGAAATTTCTATAAAATCATAATTTGAGAAAAATTTTCAAGAAATTTACTGAAAATTTCAGCCAAAAATTTTCAACGGTCTAATAAATTTGTTGGAATTTGAACCAATTTTTTAGACACATTTTATTTTGATAATTCAACCACAGGATTAATTGGTTAATTTGTAAATAGTATTTTTTACGAATGACGATGTAAGATATAATCCATGCATACATGTAATATTTCGTTTCTGTGTAAATACCAATGTATGATAACTTGGAGAAAAAAGGAAGAAAAATTTCTTCCATACTGAATGTCGATAATAGGAGTGGACTATTATCTTCCAAAGATAAAGTAGATTGTCTTGATGTGAATGTTTATGTAATTTTATTTTTTATTTCATAATAAAAACTGACATTTATATTGCAATAAAACAAAACGTTAAAATACTGTAATCTCATTGCTATCCTTTATACATCGGATTAAATCAATAAATGGTCATTGATTATGAGTATTTCATCCAGTCGTTTTCAGAGATAGCTAAAATAGCGAGTAGAATATAAATACGATTAAATCTGCAAAAATAATAATTTCTGTCTCTTCGTTTTTCTCAAATTTAATAACAAGTTGATGCAGTGATAGAAGAAGATATCTCTGTATTTACGTATTCATTCATAAAATTCTCGAAAAAGTTGAGTTTGAAATCGAGAGAAATCGATCTAGGCATTTTTCTATAGAAATCTCTTATCTACAAAAAACGGCGTTTGACATTCTTTCCCAGATGAATACTTTTCAAAGATATTTGCAAAAATAGTCTATGTCATATTCTTCAACATAACTTCAACACATAGTTACAGTATGTATAAAAAATTCAATGAAAAACCTGATGCGTTCGCTAGAAAGTTCTAAAACAATTCCATTGGCAATTCTTATTCATTGGGAATTCTGAAAGTTTATCGTACAATTTTTCATTAAATTTTAGATGGAAAAAGTTAATACATTTTTAAGTTTTCTATACAACCTATCCCGTTGCGTTTTTTTCTACAAAAACCCTGAGGCATAAATTTTCAGAGCATTTTTTCCTGCAGTCTACAGTTATGAACAACGAAAAAAATTAAAAAATCAATGCCCAAGAATTTCAATAGAAAGGATCCCAAGCGAATGAGTTATTATACAGAAAAATCAGCAACTATTGACTTTTTTCTATCAAATATCTGTCAAAAATCGCACGTAAAAGGTGAAATTTCCAAAAGGTATTGGATAGAATTTTCTAACAAAAGCGCCAGGTTTTTCTATTAAATTTTTTGAAACGTAAAAATTCTTTCTCTTCACCATCATTCTTATCCAGCCATAGGACTGACAGTAGTCGTTTGTCTCGCATACGACAGAAGCTCCGAGGGTTTATTCCCAAGATGCTTCTTCAGCCAATTTTCGATTACCGGAACATTTCTCTCATTCCACTTGGACTCTTGGTCAATATCCTGAAGGACTTTGTCCATCAACGAGTCAGCAGTATCAAATTCTCTCTGCTTGGATGCATACAATTCCGAAACCATGTCGAACCCCTCCTGAGTACTGAATGATGACGTTGCGGAATTGACAATTCCATTCCAAAGGTGTTTCTTGTTCTCAAATCTCTGTTTAACAGTGTCCCAATGGTCCACGAGAAAATCGAAGAGGGTTGAGTAACCCGTTGCACTGCCTGTGAGTGTGCTGTAGACGAGGTGAATATCGGAGTCGGAGAAGTTTGAGTTTTTGTCGAGAATTGTGACATTCAGGAGACGCTCAATCTTCTTCTTGTCTGCTGGGCAACCAGCCAGTGTCTTCAATAGATACGTTCTTTCGCTCTGTTTTCTTTCTATCGTTTTCTGGGGGAAATTTATCACGCGTTGTAGACCAAATTCCCATTCTTCCATTGTACCCCATCGGAATACCGGGCAGATGAATTCATTGGCGACACTAAAAAAATTGAACGTAAAAATGAGGGATATTCCAAGGAAAATTGATGGACGAGATTTTTTATGGGGATCTCGTTCGAGTATTTATTCCACACAGAGGTGGACACATGACACAATAATGCATCCCCTCTGAGGAAGAGGATGCGTAATATTCAATAAAAATAGGAGCGGAAAATAGAAAATATTGTGCACTAAGGGCGGAAAGTCATGTTTTCCGTACTGACCTTCACTTTTCCTTTTCCAGGGATTGGTATTGGCCATTGCCCAAACGCATAAAAATGAAAATTAGTATGGCAATAGTATTTTTCCGGCCTGTTCCGATGGGGTTTTTCACTCGTGTGGCATTGGCCTCCGAGCCGTAGGCGAGGAGTGGCCAACCACACGAGTAAAAAAACCCCATCGCAACAGCCCAGGAACAATATTTTTCTGTAGTGATTTTCAAGTTTTCGAGTTTGGGACGTATGTAATACCAATTCCCAGACGACCGTGAGAAGCAGTACAGAAAAATATCGTTTCCGACTAGTGCCATTGGGTTTTTTTACTCGCGAGGTTGGCCAGTCCTTACCGTCGGTTCGGACGCCAACTCCACGCGAGTAAAAGACCCCGTGGCACTCGCTCTCAAATATACTATTTCCCCGCCCGAGGCGCACAACCTGTTTTATTTCACATGACGATAAAAGTATTACCTAACGAATGTGATTATATTTAATTTTCGTCTTTCGCTCGGATTATAAAATCACATTCCTCAGATAATACTTTCATTCCCTGAAGAAATAATGTACTATTTCGTTATGACGGGCGCAAAGTACACATTTCCGTCTTCTTCGCGGGAGGGAAATCTGACTTTGCCGCTGCGCCAAGCCGAAAAATACAATTCTTACTACGGGAGGTAAAATAAAAGACGGTTACCCACGTAATTACCACCACCTTTATTTTACCTCCCGTTCTCACCACACTAAGTAAAATATGTGGCCTCTTACCCACGTGCTTACCACCCTCGCCTTCGGCTCGGCTGGTAATTCTGCGTGGGCACGACTCCTTCATTTTCCCTCCCTTGGCGGGAAATACACTATTGTTCTCCCGCGCAGCGGGACGGAAATGTCACTTTTCGTCCGCCGGGGCGAAAGATAGTTTCCGTCCCGGCGGGCGCAAAGTTATATTTCCCTCCCGCTTCGCGGGAGGGAACTCTGACTTTGCGCCTACGCCGAGACGGAAAATCGCGTTCTAACCACGGGAAGTAAAATAAAGGACCCTCAGCCGCGTGCATACCAACCTCGCCTTCGGCTCGGCTGGTAATTGCACTGGCGGCTGAGGATCCTTTATTTTCCCTCCTTAAGTTAGAAATAGACTAATGTACACCTAGGGAGGAAAACAGGACATCAAATCCCGCGTGTTTACCGCCCTCGGCTTCGCTTTGGGCAGTAATCCACACACTGCGAAAACTAATGTCTGAATTTCAGACACTTTTGTAGACACTTTTCAAATCCTTTTGGAACGATTTTTTAGACACTTTTAAGGCATTCAAATGTATCTAAATCAATGGAGGTATTTCAATTTCAGACACCAAGATGTCTGAAATTAAGATACAGACATCAGTTTCAGACACCAGCAGTGTTTGAAATTTTCAGACATCAGTTACATTTTAAGACACTTTTAAAGATTCAGACGTTTTTTAAAATCTGCCATCTTAAATTCAGATGGTTGTCAGACACCTAGTTTTTGCAGTGGATGAGTCAACTTTTCAGACATGAGAAATATCTTAAAAATTAATGTTTGAATGGACTTTGCCGTCTGAATCAGGTGAGATATCTTAATAGCGAAATGTTTGAATCGCTCATAAATAACTAAATTTCAGACACAGAAAATATCTGAAAATAAATACCTGAAATTTTTCAGACACAAAAAATGTCTACCATCATTCCAGACAGTAACGGTGGTTGAAATTTTCACACATTAGTCAGATTTTTAGACACGTTTGAAGATTCAGACGTTTTTTATCATCTGACATCTTAAATTCAGATAGCTGTCAGACAGCTGGTTTTTGTGGTGCACACGGGTTGAAAAGTCATGTTTTTCTCCCTTGGTGCACAATACTACTATTTTAACACACCTGTGAAGGAAAGTTTGTATTTTGCTTTCTAATGAACAGGAGGAAAGTGAATATTTACCATTCACCCTAGGGCGGAAAGTTCTCACGCTACGCGGAGACCATGAAAAAAAGCTTAGTTAGGTAAGAGTGTTCATTGTTTCCAACACATAGTTTTGACCTTTACACCGAACTGTCGGTCTGTGGACCATAATGATCAGTCTGTGGGCCGCTATCAAAATTTTCACAGTGTATGACTATTGATAAATATAACAAAAAACTTTCAAGCTGTCAGTAGCTTCCTATTTTATTGATTCCAATCGACACAAAACGTTTTTGATTTGTTTTCGCCCCGATAAATCCATGAGACCGCCAATATTTCTTCTAATTTATTCCCTGAGGGCAGTGATACAAAATAATAATTAGCACCAATTATTCATAATGAATGCCATATCTTTATCAGTGCGATAATCGAGAATGAACGGACAATATTTATGTGAAAAAAGGGCCACAACAAATATGTATGCGTGAAGAAAAAAAATGTAATTAAATAGACGCATACGTTTGGCCTCTTCTGTTTAACTCTTCCCCGCTTGACCCTTCCATCGTTTAGCCTTTCCTTGTTTGACCTTTCCCCGTTTTAGCCCTCATTTGAACATTCAATTACAAAAAGTATTGATTCATTCGCTCAAACAAACGGAAAATGCGATTCAGACGGAGTATAGCGGTCTGACAGATCGCTGGGTACGGTGAACGTGCGTTTTCGGAGGGGCTCGATGAAAAGGTTGATCCTGTGTTCAAATCTCATGTATCAGTAGATGTGAAATATATCCCAATATACGAGGTGTCCCAGAACCCATTGTACATATCGTAAAGGTTGCTTAGGGAAGTTATTTGGAGAGGAAAAGTCTAATGCAATTTGTCTCCGGCATTTTGTTAAGAAGTTATTCGTCAACAAACCAAAAATCCACAGCAAATCACCCTCTTTTTGAAAATTCATATCTCCTCTCTTACTTGAGCCGGAGGAATGAAAATGTAAGCACTCGGTTGAGCATTTGATGCACAATGATCTCAAACAATTGTTCTCGTCTATCATCATGCCTGGATGAGGAAACTGAAGGAATTTCACCGCGGCGTAAAAGCCATTTGGTTCCTACGCGCAATTTGAACCTACAAATCAGAGTCAACATAAAAATATTATATTTTCACCCTCATTCAATATCGAGGGATGAAATTGATTGGAATCGATTAGACATTTAATGCCATCATCTCTCCTCCTTAAATGGCAAAGGGGATGTGATTTCTCTATTGGGGATCGAGTAGCGTTTGATTGGTGGTCATTTTTTCTTGATAACTCATAAACACAGCGTCGGAGACAAATAATTCATTAGAGTTTTCGTTTTTAAATGACCCCCTCGAGCTACCCCGACGATATGTATGATGCGTTTTGTTTTGATATCCTGTATAAAAAATATTCCCAGTTTTTTTCAACTTATTCTGTGAATGAGCAATATCACGTACGAAAGAATTAAATAAACAGTTGAAATGTTAAAGTGCTGTGCTGGGCAGTTCAAAAATATAAACGTTTAACTCTAGATTGATGACCCTATGAGGGAAACCCCGCCACGCGTCCTTTTTCTTTAATTACAATGGACTGGCTTACCGGAAAAATTAAAAAAAAATTGACTTTGTCCATTGAAGTGTCTAAAAAATTATAGTAGTTTTCGAACAACATATTTTCCAAAATTCCTAAAGAAAAGAAATTGTTTCGAACAGATGAATCATTTTTTCGCATGTTAAATGAAATTGCTCATGACGCGACGTTGTCAAAAACTCGCTAAAAGCGCCCGGGCAGTGTAGAATGAATTTGGCAACGCTAAAGTCTAAATAACACGGCGGCAAATCCCCGCGGAGGTGACCAAGTCGCAGGGCGGTGGTTGGTGACTAGAGTAGGGTGAATAGAAAATATTTCATAGAAAAAAAATGATAGGCGTTGATGTTTCCATCAAATTATTCTGTTGAGATTGTTTCTATAGAAATGCCTCGGTTCTAATTTTCCAAAGTTTTCCGCAAATTGTGTAATCGAAGGAGTGACAAAATTTAATGAAACCTAGAAAGACGCTAAATTAAAAAAAAATCGAAAGTTCAATGGAGGGTATCTGACTAGACTCGGCTATGTAGCATAATTAAAATCTATTAATTGTTCCAAGTGGAACATTTGCTCTCCACTCAAAATCCTGAGAATGCAGAAAAAGTATTATCTGGCGAATGTGGCATTATAATCCGAGCCGAAGGCGAGGAAAAAGTCACATTCGCCAGATAATGCTTTTATCCCCATGTGACATATGATATTTTATGTCGTTGGGCCCGAAAACCGCGATCTAACCAAGCGAAGCGAGGTTAGAATATATAGTATATTGTATATAAGCGAGGTTAGAATATAGTATATTGTGTCATCAGGCGATAAAACGTTATTTCATCCCGCTCTTCCCTATTAAGGGTATTATGGCGGGGTCCATAGCTGGAAAAAAAGCAGAGAATTCAATGAAAAATGCTGAACAGATTATTCCATCCATTTGAAAGTNTCCGAAAGTAAACTTTCAATTTTTTTCTTAGATTTTTTTAATGTTTTCTAATGGTTCAATATCGACATTCAAATTAGGGCCAACTGAGGCTCAAATGAAGACTCTACTGTTCGACTACAAAAGTAGAAAAGCATTTCACTGGAGAAAAAATAGCCAAAGTACTTGGATATCCTTAAGGGTATTATGGCGGGGTCCATAGCTGGAAAAAAAGCAGAGAATTCAATGAAAATTGCTGAACAGATTATTCGATCCATTTGAAAGCCGTATGCAAAATGTCAAGATCCCTACTTAAACAATAATAATGGGAATAATTTTTGAAGTTGCTACTTATACACGCGGTTGAATGGGGCATCGGTAATTTTAGTGCTTCTCCTACGTTATTGATCTATCAATAACGTAGGAAATTTACAAAAATTACCGATGCCCCATTCAACTGCGTGTATAAGTAGCAACTTCAAAAATTATTCCCATTATTATTGTTTAAGTAGGGATCTTGACATTTTGCATACGGCTTTCAAATGGATCGAATAATCTGTTCAGCAATTTTCATTGAATTCTCTGCTTTTTTTCCAGCTATGGACCCCGCCATAATACCCTTAAGGATATCCAAGTACTTTGGCTATTTTTTCTCCAGTGAAATGCTTTTCTACTTTTGTAGTCGAACAGTAGAGTCTTCATTTGAGCCTCAGTTGGCCCTAATTTGAATGTCGATATTGAACCATTAGAAAACATTAAAAAAATCTAAGAAAAAAATTGAAAGTTTACTTTCGGAAGAAACTGATGAAATAATTGAAAAAGTTCGATGTTTGAACATTATATACATTTTCTCTAAATAATTTATAAACAATTTATATACACGTTCCACCATAAAAATCATTTGTTGGAAATCGTATCAAATGTATTCATATTCAGAATTTTACCAGAAATCGATATCATGCCTAAAAAAATAAAGTTTACAAAAGTTTAAACAATTTCAATTATTTATTTATGAACAACGAATGTTTAGAAAAATAATATTTCTATGCAAAATGTCGTTTGAATGACACTGAACCTTCATCATTTTTTTCAAACTTTTCTCGCGCAATTTAATTGAAAAATTTGATGATTGAAAATGGTTGAATTCATAGTGTGGTCTGTTCCAAACTGTAAAAGATACTTGGATATCCTAAACTATTCTATTCAATAACTTCTTCTTCCGTAATACTCTATCCATATTACGGTAACAACATATAGTCAATTCATTTCCATGTCTATATAATACACGGAAATATGTCATGCATGTTTGTTCTACACATTCATAAATGCGAAATGCATGGAGGATAAATTTGCATGCAATTTGTTGTGACACTCGTTTGTTCAAAAATAATTCTTCTGTTATGTCTCTTGGCGAAAAAGGCAAATAGAATAATGCAAGCATTCGGTAGAAGAAGACGATTCGTACGGGTTTCCTTCATCAGGCTCATCATCCTTCATCCACTTTTTGTATTGCTCCTCGGCTTCGTTGACACAGGGAACGTATCCAGCTCGGCACAAAAAGTTTTTCGCCAGACCTCTCATGTGAACTTTCCACGATGGTTCATTCTGCTGTGGAATTTCACCCAATTGATTTTTGTAGAGTGGCTGGAGGAGACTAAAGATATACGCCTGCATAAAAGATAAACAGAATCGATAATATATTCTGAAGAGAGTGACGATGATATTGATTTAACAATTCCACTGCAATGGGTATGAGATTCCGAACATCTCTTTTTCGTTTCAAATGAAGTTTTAAAGTTTAAAAGACTACTAAACACTTTATGATTATCTTCGTGAATATTTCGAGGGATGCTGGAGACAGAGAATTGGTGATAATCTCGTTTATTCCCGAAATTCGAGGGAAGTGGAGGAAACGATAATTCTGGTTCTATCTAGAAACTTGGCGCAATAGGGTGATTTTCTCTTCTCAAATTAAAGAGGAATATCTCTAGAAGTTCAGTGGAGAGAAAGTACTCATTATTATGGAAAAAAATCGCGCATGAAAAACTTCAAAATGAAAAATTTCAAAATTTCAATACTTTAAATTGAAAAATTTAAAAAAAAACAAAAAAATTTTTCAAAGGAAATTCCGTTGAATTTCTCTTGAAATTCTTGATTTGTATGAAATTTTTTATACGTCGATTTCTAGATAGGAAATAGCCAATTGAATTTTTTTTCAATGTTTGCTTCCGAATGAAAGCTTCGTAATTGTTGATTTTGACGATCTTCTAATTTTGTCTGGAAATGGCGTAGAATGTTATGAACCGTGAAGATATGATGTTTTTCGAAATAGTATATTTCGATACGCGGAAGTGTTTTTTAGCTCGTGGGAGATTTATAGCATGAGCCGAAGGCGATTGATGTAATCTCACGAGCCAAGAAGCACTTTTTTCATGAGTATCGAACAATATTTTATGTTATGAGGACCGATAAACCGCGATTCTAACCTCGCTTCGTTCGATTAGATCGCGGTTTTCGGGCCCAGTGACATAAAATATTGTATGCCACACGGCGATAAAAGTATTTATGTCGCGCCGTGCAATAAGTCGAGTTTATCGCACGCTGCGCTTTGCGCAGCCTGCTCACAACTCGACTTCTGCACGACTTGACATAAAATATTATAGAGCACTCGGTAATAAATTTCGTTTTCAACGAATGTGTGTACAGATCTCGCCTTCGGCTCGGCCTGTAAACTACACATTCGTTGAAAACGAAATTTGTGCCCTTGTACTCTAATGTACTATATCTGGCGAATATGATTACAATCTTCCCCTTCGGCTCGGATTATAAAGCCACATTCGCCAGATAATACTTTTATCGCCTAATGATATAAGATACTATTCCATCACAATGTGCGGAAAAGAGACGTTTTACACGGAGAGAAATTTTCTAGAAAAATTCTAGTACGAGTACTGTAAAAAATCACAATCCACCGGCTGTGAAAAATTCTAGTGCTGTTAAGATAAAATTTCTTGGTATTTCTGGTAAAATTTCTGGGGATTTCTGTGAAATCTTCACAGAAATACGGGGAAAAATTCACGTTTTCCCAATTAAATTTCTAGTGCCGGCAATGGAATTTTTTCCTTGCCGTCACTTTGCGCCTCTTTTCCCGTGCTAACACTAGAATTTTTCTAAAAAATTTATCTCCGTGTAGGCACACGAAACGTGCCTAAAAAGTTACTTTTTTAGTCAGCGTGATTAAAAAGGTGTTTATATATGTCCAGACGTGTGCGAATTTGTCGGAAAATTTTTATTAAACTTCACCAAAAAAGGACTAATGTTTACGGTAAAAATCTGAAATTACAGAACCAGTTAGGCGGAGCGTGCGTAAAATGTCACTTTCCACACAGCGTGATAAAAATAGTATTTTTGGTGATACTTGCCTTAAAAGTGCATTTTTCAAAACGATTTAGGGTGCGTAAAGCGATTGTTTTCCGCACTCGTGCACAAAAAAACATTACCCCGACTACCGTTCGAACAGTGAACTCGGCAGGTAGCACAAAATAGTATATTAGAGTACCAAGTGTGAAATTTCGTTTTCAACGGATGTGAAGTTTACAGGCCGAGCCGAAGGCGAGGTTTTGTACTTACATTCGTTGAAAATGGAATTTATCGCCGAGTGCTCTATAGTGTTTTATGCCACCTCGTGCGATAGTCGAGTTTCGAGCAGACTGCATAAAATAGGATGTGTGCGTGTGAAACAGTGGAACTTCACGCACTGGTAAGAAAATGTACTATTGTACCATTGTCACTTGATAAGTTATTTGTTTCCTTTATTCATTTTCATTTCTCATTAGTATCGCAATGAAAAATACATTTGGTGTTATTATTCACTACGAAAAAATATCATAATTCAATTTTTTTTCAATAGCCATTGATATGGTAATGAAATATTAATAATGGAACATATTTTCCTGTCGATCTCTGAACATGACTCCTTTCTTAGTATAATTTTTGATAATAGTGATTAGGAAGAGCAGACAATACATTACTCATGTTTTGTCCCGAGGGGATCTTTGTATCTCCGGGAATAACAAAATGCATTCCATCTATCTATCTACAATATGAGTAATTTCTCACCTCAAATTTGGCGTAAACTCCCTCAGACCCTTGAATTCTCCTACCGACATGATCAATCATAGTGAAGAATGGCTCCCACACAACATGACTGGTCTCATTCTTCAAGAATAGCGTCATATTAAAGGCAACTTCAAAGCAAAAATTGCCAGCATATGCCATATTCCAAGCATCGTGCAGCAATTTTGCCCTCGTCAAAACTGGAATTGTTTCCCTCTGAGGTCCTTGGAGAAACTCACTCAGCATTTGCCAATTGCACATATCATAGTTGACCGGGAACATACCTGTTACAGGAATAACATTGAAACTTAACGAGCCCCGGAGAGTTCAACTGTAATAGAATGATTGGATTGAACTAGAATACCGATCTCTTCCGGATTGACGATGATAAATTTGTTTTTGTCAACAGTGTCCTTCATAGTAATATGAGAGTCAGCTTTAGTCAGCCAAAAGTTGGTCTTCAGCTCTGTGAAGTTCAATTTGTCTTGATTTATCATAACGATAGGAATATCCCATTGATAGGACATTTTTTCGTTAGATGGTGGAGCTGCTTCGCGTAAGTAAACAGACTGTAATTGAGAAATGAGAATCGTTTCAAGAGTATTTTTTGTACGCAGGGGATTAAACAGGTTTGGAATATTTTAATGAGGGAGTGCGCACGGACGTTATTGAATTACCTCCTCTGCTAAAGTCGTTAAACAAACGATAGTGCGTGTTACCTTGAAAAATAATACTACAGCATCATCCTATCCATCAGCAATTTCAAGGTTTAGTATTATATGAGAGTACGGAATCTATCACATTTTTATCAGCTTCAATTTTTTGTATTGGGAAAACAATTTTGGACGAATTGACAAAAATCCGATTTTTTTTTTGTATTTCATGCCTATTAAAATCTTTGATTCAGACGGAATAAGACGTAAATAGGAGGTATTTCTTGAATAACTTCTGCGTTAAGTACACGTATGAAAAAATCGTATAGAAATTTTTTATACGGATTGCGTATAGAACTTCTATAGAATTTTCGTATATGATATTGGGATATTTCTATACGGATATTTTTTATACAAATTATTTCTATACGATCTCTATAGGTTTGATCTTATACGACCTACTGCCACATGTATAGAAAGATTTCGTATGGAATAATTTTGACATTTCTCTACGTTTTTCTATGAAGCGTTTAAACATCTTTCGTACGAAAACAAAAATTTATGTAAAAATTTATATATAGAAATAATTCGTACAGAAAATATTAGTATAGAAATATCCGAATATCATATACGGAAATTCTATAGAATTTCTATACGCAATCCGTATAGAAAATTTCTATATGATTTTTTCATACGTGTAGCAACTGGTGATTAGAAAAATTCTGCCATCAGCAAAACATTTCCTATTTATTTTAAAACGTGACATTTTTACTTGGATGTTGAGTTGGTGGAATAGTTTGCGTATGAAATAATTCGGCTTTATTCCTTTTTCTTCGATTTTATTGGAATACTTGTTTAACACATTCTTTTAAATAGGAATCTTCAATACGGAAACAGAAATAGGCAGTTTCGCAAATTATACGATCAGTAATTTAATAACATCGCGATAATACCAAATAGAAGAATATTATCCATTATTTCAATAATCAATAGCATTTTTTAAATAATTGTTCAATATGTCGAGCTATTCTAATAATTTGAACAGTAGTACTAAAACAATATTTTCTTCCGATCTTTGAATGGAAAACATTTTATAGGAGAAATGAATCATTTTTCCAATTTTGGTACAACTTATTCTTTTGGAATTATTTTCATAAAAATTCCGCAGCTAAAATTTTTCATGTTTTTTCCATGAATTTTTCATTCAGAGAAAAAAACAGCTGCGGAAAAAACATCGAAAATTTATGCCAAGGAATTCCTATCGGAAAAATATTAGTAGAATAAGTTATATAGGCTCAATTGCACTAAATTCAGTTTAATAAATCCTCAGTTAAGTATCGGAATAAAGAAGAATAATCTGCCAATCAAATTTGATTCAAAGTTCATTAAAGGTATTTTATCGAAAAATTTAAGATATCGATGTATCATTATTTGCCAATGATACCATTAATTATGATATTCTGGACTGAATGGCTGAGGAAGAGCACATCCGTCGAAAACGGAATTTCACACCTCGTACTGTAATATACTATTTGCCTTGAGAAACAACAATGCTACAGCATTATCAACGATTTTTACCTGTGTGAAGGTGATGTTTCCGGTTTCGTAATCCCTCGTTACCGTTACCAGTGGCACACGGTCACGGAATATCCATGGAGCAGCTATACTACTGATTGTCAGATCGTCTGGCAGAGTTACATTGTTTTGTATTCTCACTGTATCGAGATGAGCGAAGATGTCATTGGCATAGAAGCTGCGACTGTCGAACCAAATGAATAAATGAATAAGCAATGTATGCAGAAAAGCGTAAATTTAGAATCGAGGAAATTCAATTTCATTTGACAGCTTGTTCTTAACATCCATGGAAAAAATCAATAGAAAGCGCTCTATTAAAATTTACGTTTTTTTTGCTAATTTTGATAAATTTTCAATACACTGTTGAAAATGTCTTGAAATTTCAGTCACAGCGTTAATTAAATTTTTGATGTTGTGAGTTTGAATTAAATTTCAGATGTAAGCGTTCACAAAATTTCTCATTCATCTCAAAAATTCAAGAAAATTGGGTTTTGCGTGTTGAATAATTATTAATTTTTCAATAAAAGCTTTAATTTGCAAATTCATCGTGAAAATTGAGAATTCAGAAAAGTTATTGCCTGAATTTTAAAAATTTTCAAGGTTTTTCAGTGCCGTATGGACCTGAAAATCGAGAATTACGTGAACATTCAAGAAATTAACTGATTCGTCAATGAAAAAATATACAGAAATATCATGTAACTTTGTCATTGTTAATAATTTCAAGCTTTTTCACTAGAAACTTCAAGAATAATTTCCCAACAGTGTAGGGTAAGTAGATAGATCCGAGGGGGAATCGCTTTCGCCAAAGTGGATCCCCCACTTAGCGTTTGGGGGTCCCCACTTTAGTAGTTAGCTTGCACGCAAAGATGTCGTGGATATATTGAGACTGGCTACCAAGACAGGGCTTCAAATGTAAAATAGTATATTTCGTCATTAGGCCGAAAAAAACTTTTCTGGCGAAGATGAGGTTTGCAGCACGAGCCGAAGGCGAGGGCTGCAATCATATTCGTCAGAAAAGTTTTTTTTTTGTCATTGCGGCCGTAAGGCAGCGTTTCACTTTTATTTTACGTACACTTCGTGCGTAATTTAATTTAATTTTAATTTTAATTTCACCTTTTTAATTGAGAAAAATCAGAAGTCCTAACTACTAATTGTCCTAGAAAAATCGCAACAGAATGAGTTGACTTTTTCCTGGAAAATATTTTATTAAAAATTGGAATAGAATTACATGATTTTTATCATAGAAATCAGCAAATAAATAGAAGTTTCTAGTGAACCTGTCAGGTTTTCTTTGACGTTTGACTATGCGTGGATGTTTTATGTCCTAGTTTTATTCAGATTCTACTGCTTCTTTTTTTAGATCCTTCATGAGCTCAGAGTCATGAGGATCGAGTTAATAAGGTAGACTATTAAATGACTCAGTTTATAGGAACGTTAGTCAAGATAACATCGACAGTTAATTCTGTTTCGTTGCGCAGGAAATCATAATGTCTTGATTTTATTCGGAATTGTTGGCAAGGTTTTGAAATGGCCGTGACTATTCGCACCATTGCGTGAATCACTCCCATACACTCCATACACTCCACGCATGCGTGAAGTTTGTGTGTTTCACGCAGTTGCATTTTTATACCCCTGTGTTTCACGCAGTTATATTTTTATACACCGGTGTGTTTCACGCAGCCGAATTTTCATACTGCTGTGTATTTCACGCAGTTGAAGTTTTATACTCCTGTATGTTTCACGCAGTTGCATTTTTATACCCCTGTGTTTCACGCAGTTATATTTTTATACACCGGTGTGTTTCACGCAGCCGAATTTTCATACTGCTGTGTATTTCACGCAGTTGAAGTTTTATACTCCTGTATGTTTCACGCAGTTGCATTTTTATACACCTGTGTTTCACGCAGTTATATTTTTATACAC